AGGACCCACAGAATAATATCTCAGATGTCCACAGAAGCCAACTTGGGAGAGTGTGGTTGCTTTCCTGGGGAAGGAGATGCCCAAGGGGACAGACCCAGCTGGCTCAGGCCACTGGGTCTGGCTGAAGCACTGCCACCACCAGAGGCTTGGCTGAGCCCTGGAGGGAGGTTTGGCCGATGGTTAGGAAGGGATGGGTGTGCGGAAGGGGGCCGGGTAAGCTGGGGGAGTGTTGCCTGGGCATGGCCGGCCCAGGGCAGTGCAGCCCAGTGGACCCTTCAGGGGAGCAGGAGGGGCCCAGCCTGTGCTTCCCTCAAATGCCCCATCCCATCTGGGCACTTCATCCTCTCTGTGCTTTCTGCCTGCCGTCTGAGTCCCCCCTTTGATCAGTCAACCAGTATGGGCTGAGTGCCTGTGGTGCAGGGCCAGGGCTCCTGCAGGGAAGGGCCCAGCTGGCGCTGACCCCCTCAGTGCTGTCCTTTCCCTCCTCCTTTCCTGCTGGGTGTCAGTCATTCGCTGTGCCCCTGCACTCTTACTGCCTGGCTTTTTTCTCTCCTCCTCCCTGTTGCGGTGTCATCATCTCTGTTTCTGTCTCTCCTTCCTTCCTTCATTCATTTAGCAAACACCACATGCCGGCTGTGTGCTGGGGATACAGAGATGTACAAGACACACCCCTGCTGGACTTCAGAGTCAATGGGGGCAGACAGAAGTGTAAACAGACAAGCACAGTCTGGCATGGTAAGTGCAGGGGCAGCACCGGGGAAGGTGTCGCAGAGGAGGAGACATTTGAACAGGGGCTTGTAAGATGACCAGCAGCTCCCCAGGTAGATGAGCATGGGAAGGATTCCAGGCAAGCCAGCAAGGCAAGCAGGTATGGAAGGAAGCTAAGGCAGCTGGCTGTGCTGCGGGGGAGGGAGTGCCGGGGTGAGAGCGGGGAGAGAAGCAGGAAGGTTCGATGAGGAAGTGATGGGGACTAAGGAGGAAGGTGAGTAGGAGAGCGGCAGCATCAGCTCTGGGTGGCCCTGTCGGCAGTGTGCATGTGGGAAAGGGGCAGGTGTAGTCAAGGAGCTGTTACCAGCATCCAGGAAAAAGCTGATGGTGGCCTGGGCTCGTGTGGTGTAGCAGGAACAGAGAAAAATAGGTGGTTTCATGGGTTGTCTTGGCGGGTGCAGGGCTTGGGGCCTGATTGGTTGTGGGGTGGGAAGAAGAATGAGTTGAAGACTGGCTTGGGTGACTGCGGAGAATAGGGCCTTTCACGGATATCAGGTGCTCAGAGGAAGCAGCTTCGGGGGATGATGCTGAGTCACTTTGACGGCAGGATCTGAAGCTCAGGGGGGCACAAGGTGTCAGGTTAGACAGAGATGTGGATTTGGGAGCATCTGCCTGGTGGAGTCATTTTGAGCCTGTGGAAAGTAGCTAGACTCTTGCATCTCTGGGCTCCCTACTCACTGCCTCTTCCTCTCCTAGCCTGTCTGTCTCCCCTCTGCTGGCACCTCCCTGTGCTGGCCGCCCTCAGGCGCATGCTGTGCTAAGCTCAGTGAGTATTTCTTTCCACATGGGCTTGAGAGCAGCAGACACCTCCTGTGCCCTCTGGATAGGCCTTCAGACCAGGCTCAGCAGGGGCAAAGCGCCTCATGTAGGGAGTTTTCCGATCTTTCCTACTCCCTTTAATGTCAAAAATACTGCCACTCCCCTGCTCCATCCCCCTCATGACAGTAACTGTATTTTTTGTGGCTTTGATTGAAAAAATAGATATGGATTTCAGGACCTCTGATATTGATTCCACAGTCTGGGATGAATGGGTAGGAGGGTGGTTCACCACCCACAGGGTGTGAGCAACTAGCTAGAGGAGGAGTCTGTGGGTGGGAGTGGACAGCGGCCACCAGCAGGGTCAGGGAACCAGGCTGAGTCCCCTGCTGTTGAAGCCTCCCTCTTGGTCCTCTGGGTCAGGGCCCAGTTGGTCCAGGGGTGTCCCCCTGCCTGACTGGTTTTGCTGGTGAACACTCAACAACCACTTTGCCCTGGACTTTTTCATGTAGCATCTTTCCCACTTCTTTATTTTCATTCATTTAAACAAACACCATAGGGAGAAGACAAGATTAATTAGGCGGAAGTCTGAATCGAAGATGACTTTGAGAGCAGTGCGCGTTTACTCATTTTGGCCACAGGATGGGTCTCTGGGCCAACAGCGGTATCAGAGGAGAGGTTTTCTTTATGTAGATGCTGCAGGACGTACGCACAGCCTTCCAGGCTCAGGGGGTTCAGTGATGGACGAGGCAGAGTCCCTGATCTCCTAGAGCCCCTGGAGATGGACAGTCACGGCACACCAACAGTGTGCGATGAGAGGGAGACTTCCCATTGGGGCACTGTGAGTGCCTGAAGTAGGGACTCCTCACCTAGGCTGGGGGAAGCCGAGGGAAGGCTTCTGTCCCTGAGAAAGTCACATGTGAACCTAAGGATGCATTTGGTTTAGAGTCCATGCAAAGGCATGATTATCCAGGAAAGATTATATAATCCATGCAAGAGTATAATCCTACCCAGTTTATAAGGCTCAACTTCCTTTTCTCTAGGAACCCTGCAGTGATTATTTCGGTCCACAGGGATCTATGTGTCTCTGAGCTCCTGCAGCCCAGAGGACGTGAATCACACTCTCCAGTGCCTGAGGAACAGGCTCCTTGTCTCTGAAACTACGATTCAAGCTCCTTCTCATTGTTTCCCCATTTTATCTCTTGTCCATCCTTCAGGCTGGGGCGGATATTCTTTGGAGCTGAGCCCACATGCTTTTCCCTGGTGGCCCAGTGGATTCACAGGACTGGAAGGCTCAAGCTCTATAATGGCTCAATGATTTGGCCTGTATATGCTACTCGTTAGGGGACTATCCTATAGAAGGACTCAAACCAAGCGAGAAACAGATAGGTGGAAGAGATAGATGGGATCTACTACACAATAATTAAACACAAGTACAGCAAAGACACCACAGACACAATTAAAAGACAAATGACAAATTTGGGGAAATATTTGCAAAAACCATAAACTAAGCTTTAATATTCTCAATAAAGAAATTATACAAATGAAGAAAGATTCTTGCCAGGGGTGGGGGCTCATGCCTGTAATCCTAGCACTTTGGGATGCCAAGGGGGAAAAACCCTGTAAAAGGTGAAATGATGGAACCAAACCAATCCAAAAATTAACTCTGAGAGCCAAAGGGTCACATTACTAGCATAATCTGTCACTTCATAAGATTCAGTGAGAATGTATTGAAATATGTGCCAAAACCCTCTAAGTTTGAGAACGGAGGTCACCAGGCCATATGGCTGTGGCTGGGCTGATTTTGTGGGTGAGGTCACCTGCCTCTTCATTGTAACACTGCGCACAGCCTGTCCCTTGGCAGGACTCAGTTCCATACAATGGGATGCTGGGAGGGGGTCAGATTATTCTCTGAGGGTGCTGCCAGGATCTTGGGCTGAGTTGATAACTCTGCTCTTGAAGAAGAGTATGATTAGGCTGGGACTAGCACTTTGGGAGGCCGAGGCAGGAGGATTGGTTGAGTCCGGGAGTTCGAGATAGCCTGAGCAAGAAGGAGACTCCATCTTTACAAAAAAAAGAAAAATTAGCACCTGTAGTCCCAGCTACTTGGGAGGCTATGGCAGGAGGATCGCTTGAACCCAGGAATTGGAGGTTGCAATGAGCTATGATGACACAACTGTACTCTAGCCTGGGCAACAGAGTGAGACCCTGTCTCAAAAAAAAAAAAAAAGAGTGTGACTGAGGATTGCGATTTATAGGGTCCAGATCTCAGCTCCTTATTGGCTGAGGGACCACTGCGCTTAACCTTGTTACCTCTTCCTGACCTCTGCGCTGCCCTGGCTGTCCCTGCTTCTTGGCCACCCTCTCATCCTTTTTTTTTTTTCTGAGACACAGTCTCGCTCTGCTGCCCGGGCTAGAGTGCCGTGGCGTCAGCCTAGCTCACAGCAACCTCAAACTCCTGGGCTCAAGCGATCCTCCTGCCTCAGCCTCCCAAGTAGCTGGGACTATAGGCACGCGCCGCCACGCCTGGCTAATTTTTTTCTATTTTTAGAAGAGAGGGAGGTCTCAGTTTTGCTCAGGCTGGTCTTGAACTCCTGAACTCAAGTGATCCTCCCGCCTAGGCCTCCCAGAGTGTTAGGATTACAGGCGTGAGCCGCTGCTCCCGGCAAACCCTCTCCCCCTTGGTCAGCCCCTGGGCCCACTCAATTAGGGCTAGTTTGACTGCTCAGGCTTTATTGGTTCGAAGCCTGGAGGAGCATGAACAGGGACAGTCTGTGCTTTGGAACTGTTTAGTGGAGGCAGGAACTGAAGGCCATTAGGGAGCCCCACCTGCCCAGGGAGAGAATGTCTCCTCCCTTCTAGGCCCTCTCTCTGGGACATTTTGAGATGGTTTGGCTCTCATGACTGAGCTCTCCTGACTCTGTCCAAGGCTACTTCCTGGTATGGGGCAGACCCTCCCCTCCTGGCCATGCTCACCTGTGCGCTGACTGGAGTCCACCTCCCACATCTTTAGCCGCGTGAGCTGTCCGGCTTTGAGAAGGCCTCCTGCGCTTGGTGTCCTTTCCCAGAACCTGACAGTTTACAGCAACGCTGCCCGGGTACCTCAGAAGTCTGCTTTGAGGAGTGAGCAAGTCTTAAGAGTCACCCCTCCCAATGTGCCTCCTCAAGGGTGGAGCTGGAGGCCTCCCTCCGCCTGGCCTAACAGCTGCCTGACGCTCTGGATAAGTTAGATTGATTTTCCGTCCAGACCAGGCATAAACTGAGCTTCAGGTTTTCAGGCAACGCCCCCCGCAACCCCGCTTTCCGCCACATCAGCCGGCCCAGAAGCCCTCCGTCCCGAATGTAGTGTCTTCAGCCTGAATATCAGAGCCAGGCTTGGGTGGGGACAGAGGCAGCTGCCCTGGGCATGGTGGGGCTGATGGGGAAAGATGGCCTCATAAAGCCCCGCTTCCTGATGTGGGCCTGTTTCTCCCTAGCAACCAGCAAATGCCTGGAAAGACAGCTTCTCGGAAGAGCGCTGTGTCCTGCACAGAGGACCCAGACAATGCTGAGGAGCCCTCGGACTACAGGTGAGGACCCCCTTCCCAGTCAGACATACATACAGATTGGGGGGTGGGAAGGCCTCAGGAGGTGACATGTTAGAAAGGAGACCTTGAGGCTGAGTCAAAGGGGACCCTTTGCAGGTGTGTGAGGTGGGGCACAGGTTGCCTGGGGCCTCTTCCTCCTGCCCCTCGGGCCTGTCCCAGTGCACTGGGACGTAGCAGAGTCCAGGCTTCTCAGGTTTCCAGCCTCCTCCCTGCTCACCTGTCCTTTGGCAGGGCAAAGGTTTGCATTTCAGCGCCACACCCCTTCCCCAGCGGGGTGCCTCCCTCAGGTCAGGTGAGTCCCTGCTGAGCTCCTCACTGCGGAGGCCACAGGGAGGAGGCTGCAAGGAGGACAGTCCTGCTGGGAGCATGGCCAGTAGGCAGGCCCTGGACCTGTGAGTCTGACACCTCCATCTCACCCACTCCCCAAACTAGTCCCTATTCCTGCGCTGCTGCTCCTCTGCTTACCCCTTGGCCAGAGACGTGGAAGAGGGTCTTTGACACACAGGGGTGGGCAGCTCCTAAGCATCTCTGGGAGAGCGAGCATACCTCTTAGGGGCATGCTGCTCACCCCCGTCTGGGAAGGAGGGCTCTCAGCGACCCCACCCTGCATCCCGGAGTGTCTTTCCTCAGGGATGAGCTGTGTGCTCACTGTACTTATCGCTTGCTGTGTCCCCGAGAGAAGGGCCCTAGTCTCCAATCTGTCCCAAGCTCTGGCTCAAAGCCAGGGCAGAATTGGCACTGAGGATGCATGGGTAGGACTCAAGGGTTCCTTGTCCCTGGAATGGAATGTCTCCTTTGCAGTCTGCACTGGCCAGAAAGCTTGAAGGGCAAAGAGATAAAGAAGTGCAGCCGAGAAAGGGTAAGTGTGGGGAGGCTGACTTCTCACTGTTCACCAAGGAAGGGGCCCTGGGCTGCCTCAATTCAGTGGCTCCCTGGCCACCAGGCCTGTCACCAAGAACCAGGAGACGTGAGTGGGTGTCCCTTCCTGGGTGGGAATGGTGTATCCCTTCCCGTCACAGGCTACCTGTCGGGACCCAGCATCGCCAGGAGACAAACTGTGCTTGGAACTCAGCCCTCCACACCCACTGGCTGTTTACTGTTTCATGCTAAGTTCTCAGGAGAGGGGGGCTGTGGCACTGTTTCCTGTTGGCTGGAGCAGGGCCCTTTCGGTGGTCTGGTCTCCCAGGGCTTCTCAGACCCAGCCCGTATGTTTGCAGACACTACTGAGTAAATACAACCAGCAATACCACAAGCTGTTTAAGGACATCCCTTTGGAGGAGGTGGTTCTCAAAGGTGAGCTGTCTCCCTGGTGTCGCTGGACGGGCTCAGGGGCCTTGGGCCAGGTCCTCTACTCTGGAGCCTCCAAGGCACAATTTAGATATGGAAACTGGCTGACCTTTGGATGTAGTTAGTCCTTTTTTCTCCAAAAGTATGATAACACTGGGCTGGTTTGGAATATGAAGTTGGATTTATAAAGGTTTTCTTGAGGACATGTCAGAGCTTCCAAATTATTTCTGTTCTGCTCTTATCAGCGACTGTTCTTCCCTGCTCAGGCCTTTCACTGAGCATGCGGGGGCTTTTGCACACTCAAGGCAGGGCAGAGCAGAGGAGAGCGAGGCAAGGGTTCTGCCTGGGGTCGTGCGAATCCAGGCATGGAGACCAGGGCGGGAACCTGCCTGGCCCCTGCTGGGCGCGAGTGGAGAAAGCAGCAGCAACTAGCAGTCTGCTAGGGTGGAGTCAGGGCATTTGGGAGAAGAACCCTTAGAGTGCTGGGGGGATGGATCATTTGGGGCCTCAGATGGGGAAGGGAGAGTCTGAGGAAGACAGGCCCTGAGGCTGGACTCTGGGCCCCTGAGTGTGGGGACCCAGGCCCTGAGCTCCCCACCGACTTTGCTTATGGCACATCTTCTTTTCTGTGACTTCCCAGTGTGCTCCTGTGCCCTCCAGAAGGACCTCCTTCTCCAGGGCCGGCTCTACATCTCCCCCAACTGGCTCTGCTTCCATGCTGGCCTCTTTGGCAAGGATATCAAGGTAGTAATGAGTGGTAAGGGCCACCATGGCCCAGCGAGGCCCAGCCCCAGCCCTGTGGGCACGCCTCAAGTCATGCCTGGCCCTCTGCACACCGGGCCCCTGGTGAAGCCTCTCTCTGGTTGGATAAGCAGCTTCAAGGCATCCCATCCAGTGTCCAGGGAAGTAGTACTGCCCCTTCTAAAACAGGGTCCCCAGTCTAGACCCCACATCTGGCCTGAGCTGGCCTGAATGGTTCACAGCCAAATTATTCTGTCTCTGGGTATCTCAGAAATGCCTTCGGAATCAGGCAGGATATGCACTTAGGGGGAGCCACAACTGTGGCCAAGAAGTAGCTCAGGGAACGCCATTACTAGAGTGTGGGATTCTCCAAAGCAAGCATCCTTGGCCTCCTGGACACCAGGGATCATACCTAGGAGAGCCGAGAGTGGCACGGACTGTCAAGGCTGTGGCAGAGGGGTGAGGGGAAGCTAGATGAGAAGGTGCACGGCTCAGACACTTCCCCATGTGGTGCCAGGCCTCTTCATGGTATCCATGCTTGGCTCATAGCCAGCTATGGCTGGGGTCCTATGCAGGGAGCAAAGGGACTTGGGGGTGAGTCCTGAGAGAAGCATGCTTCTCCCTCTCAGGTGGTCATTCCCGTGGTGTCTGTACAAATGATCAAAAAACACAAGATGGCACGGCTCCTTCCCAATGGACTGGCCATCACCACCAACACCAGCCAGAAGGTCTGTGAGTCTCTGGGCCAGCGCTCCCTTGTCAGTCTCCGCATCCCATCCCCAGGAGCCCACAGGCTGACTCAGCACTCTGCCAGGTCTTTACTTTGCTCCACCCTGCAGCTCTCCAGTGGATATTTTAGCACATGTAACAAGCTGGAAGAGAGGTTCCTAGGCAGGGTCTTGTTGGCCTAAAATCCCTGCGGGCCTGTCCCCAATTCATGGAGGGGGGGCTGCTGGCACTGGGGTCTCGTCTCACTCCACCCTTTCTGTTTTCTTTCCATGTCCCAGTATGTCTTCGTGTCACTGCTCTCCCGGGACAGTGTATATGACATGCTGAGGAGAGTCTGCACCCACCTCCAGGTATGGAGCTCAGGAGTGGGAGCTGGGCCAGGGAGGCTGCTCAGGCCTGGATTCAGGGCTTGAGACAGGGGTGCTGGGGGAGGGTGCCCCATCTCTCTAGCACAGGGAGCAGGGGCAGGGGAGTGAAAGGCTTAGGCTCAACCTACCAGAGGCACTACTCGGTGAGCATGTCTTTCTGAGGCCAGTGGGCCCTTGTGTGTCCTATGAAGAGATGCTCCTTGACTTAAGATGAGGTGATGTCCTGATAAGCCCATCATAAGTTGAAAATATCATCAGTCAAAAATGCATTTAATACGGCGTGCCTAACCTAGCTTGGCCTACCTTAAACATGCTCAGGATACACATAGGAGCCTACTAATGGGCAAAATCATGTAACACAAAGCCTGTTTTATTGTAAATTGTTGAATATCTCATGTAATTTATTGAATACTGTACTGAAAGTGAAAAACGATGGTGGTATGGGTATTCGAAGTACAGTTTCTACTGAATGTGTATTGCTTTCGCTCCATGATAAAGTCAAAACATCCGAAGCTGAACCATTTTAGTGGGGGACTGTGTGTGGATCTGTATGCCCTCGCTGTGCTTCCTTAACGTACAGATAGACGGAAGCACGTGGCTGTTTCCCACACGTCCTACAACTCTCTCTGGCCCATGGTGGGTGGAGGGGAGGGGCAGCAGCACGGGAGAGTCAGGTGCCTGCCATTTGCCCGCTGCTCCAGCATTAAATGGGGACCCCCTGCAAACTCTGGGAGCTGGGCTTCCCCAACACAAAGTGGCTTATTTGGAGGTAGAGCTATCTTGGAGACTTCTAGTGCTTCCCCACACCTGACTCTGCCTGTTCCACATGGACAAGTGACCCCTGTTCCCTTTCCTCCTCAGCCTTCCAGCAAGAAGAGTCTGAGTGTAAGAGAATTTCCGGAGGAAGCAGCGTGCAAGTCTCTGGTGAGAGCTGAGGCTGGGAGCAAAGGCTGCTGGCCTGAGAGTGCCTGTAGTTCCGAGGAACCAGGCCATCCCAGGAGGGGCCTACAATGCAGAACTGGGGCACCAGGCTCAATGATGTGCTGGGGCACCCCTAAACCTGTCACGCTCTACCATGCAGAGCCTCGGCAGATTTGCTGACTTTCTGAGAACAGAAGTCCAGCCCCCAGAACACTGGCCAGGTTGGGTCCCACGCTTGTAAGGACACAGGGCCAGTGATCCGTCCCGTTTCCTTTGGCTGAGGCAGGAGGGCCTTCAAGAGGATAGAGATGTCTCTAAAAAGAACTCCAAGGCTGTCAGTGAACCCAGACAGACTTATTTTGGATTGGCTGAAGTTTCAGCAGTTTCTTTTGGCAGGTGGGGCCCCGGGTAGGCAGAGCTGAGTTTCTAGGGCAGGAATAGAGGTAGAAATGACCCCAGGTTGTTTGAAGTCTCCTTCGGTAACTATTAAGCATTTAGCCAGGCATGCAATATGCATAATACCACTCAGGCAATAGAAGGTGATGTTCCCATTTTTGTTGATGGAGACTCTAAAGTTCCCACTGCCAAGGTCAGTGACTTGCTCAGGGTCAGGGCCTGGAACAGAAGGAGCCATAACTAATCTAAGACATATTGTGCCAAGCACTTGGTTGTGTCCCTGGGTTGGCTTACATCTAAGATCCCACCGTGGTTCTATACTAGCAGCCTTCAAAGACATTGTTTCCTGGCCAGGTGGCTAGTCACAGCAAGAGAGCAGATAGGAGAGACATGTGGTTGCTATGGCAACTGTCCCCCAGCCCCTCGTACCTGCTTCCATCCCTGGCTAGGCCTCCATGTGGGTAATGTCTGGAGAAAGCTCTGATCAACCTGGTGTGGGCCCCTTAGGGTAAGTAAGATCCCAAGGGCCACAGTGAGAAGCTTCTCCTGTCTTTTCTGCAGGAAGTCTTCATCCCCGAGATGAAGTGGAGAAAAGTGTGCCCTGCCTCCAGGTCACTGTCCCTCCGAGACAACATCCCTCGTATCCCTCAGGCATCCGTAGACTCTACAGACGGTATCTTCCCCTCCAGAAAGCCTCCAAGGTCTGGTGAGTTCAGTGGCTTGACCACGGCAACTGCTCACGAAGGCTAGACTTTTTCTTTTCCCAGTGAAAAGGCTCACAGCCAGCAGGGCTTCTGAGAGCTGATTCTTTCTTTCTCCACATCCACATGGAAAAGTCAAGAGCCTGAGCATCTTCAGAAAATGGGGGGAAGTATGCCTGCCCCATGCTGGGCTGGGGTCCTGCCTGCGCTGAGTGTTCTCCCTTTGCAGAGAATGCTGTCTGTGAGGAGGACGAGCTGGAAGAGGAGCCCAAGAGTGACAGGGAGCTGAGGCTCTGGGACTACCAGCTCTTCAAGGTCTTCTTTGTGCTGTAGGTGACTTTGGGGCCGGGGGAAGACCCACCTGGTGTCTAGGTGTTTGGAACAGGGGATTTGAAGTGTGGGGAGATCACTATCCAGAGCCAGGGGAAAGTTCTGAGTCAAATTCAAGCTGTTGGGTGGTGTCTGAAGGCCACATGGCATGCCCTTCTGTAGCAAGAGAAAGGATCTCCATTTTTGTTCATTACACCCTGTAATTTAGGGTTAAGATTGTGCAGTGGGGTGGGGCAGGATATGGAACAGCTGAGAGAAGGAAAAGTTGCTGCACAGGATTGGGGAGGAGGAGGCTGGCCAAATTGGAGAGGGCCATCAGCTGAAGGGAAATACTGACTAGGGAAAAGCATGGCCTCCCTGCTGCCCCGCACTAGAGCAGTTTCTGGAACCCCTGACTTGTCTGTACCTCTGTCTAAGGACCAGTGGAGTGCTGAGCATGATGGGAAGTTCCATGAAGAGCCAGCCCCAGCTTTCCCTCACCTTATCCCATTAGCCTCCTCTGGCTGTGCTGGCTGGGTTTTGACTGTCATCCGCAGTGCCTGCTGGGGAAATGGGCCTACCACCTTAGGGCTCAGACAAAGGGCACAGGACTCCAGCTGGGCTGCAAGGCCACCTCGGTGGGGATGTCTCAGGACCCCCAGGTGGCCTCCGGGAAGAAAGATGCCCAGGCCCGAACACAGCTGAAGGACAAAGGGCTCTTTAAGTCTTCCAATTGCAAGAGTAGCTTAAGGTCCCACTATTTCTGGTGAGCCTCCAAAAATGCCCCTTTTCTGGAAAAAATATTCAACTTTTTCTTGCCCCTCTTTCTCCAGGATCTGCTTCTTGGTCATGTCCTCATCCTATCTGGCGTTCCGCATCTCCCAGCTAGAACAGCAGTTATGCTCCTTGAATTGGGATGGCTCGGTCCCTGGGCACAGGTGAGGCCTTTTCTCTTCCTAATGCCTATGGGACTGAGGGTTGAGGACAGGAGCCAAAAACCTAAGGGCAGGCTTTCTGGCTGACTTGTTTTAAGCTGGTTTGATGGCTTTAGCAAGGTTGGGCAGTGTGTGCAGGGTACACAGATCCCACTCTGGCCCACTCTCAGTTGGGGGCCTGGGGGCAGGAAGAAAGGCTTCACTGGTCTTCTGCCCACATCTTCTGCCTCTGGGCTCTTTCCCTGATCTGGGCATCTTTCTTGTGTGCAGGTAACAGCCACTTGGCCTTTGTCCCAACTACTTCTCCAAGAAGATTCGCTGGGTGCTAAGTCTCCACCAACCATCTCCTGGGTTTATGCTGCTGCTGTGCTGAGACTGAGTACGAAGGAAAATATTCCAGATCCCTCCCCCTTCCCCCGACTCTTCTCCCTCCCTCAGTGAGTGATCTGAAGTACTGTTTACAGAGTAACTGGCTCCTATAATTTTTGGACTCAAACAAAAAGCCAGAGTTTTTGGAACCAGCTGAGGAATTCTGTACACTAAGCTTCAGCAACCACTTAAATGAGAAAAAAATTTAACCTGCTCCTTGGAAACAGTTCTGGCACACAGGCAGAACACTGGAGGCCACCTCAAGGGACAAAGCCATGCTTTGATACCTGGGAACGTGGCTCTCTGTCATATGGCTCACTCCGGTGGTGGGGTCAGAGGCCAGAACACAAACCAGCAGTTTGGGCTCTGCTTCCCCCGCACACTCCCCTCCCACGGGCTTCTCGAAAGGAGCCAGGGGCCTGCTGAGGGCTGCGAACACAGAGAGGAGGGCTCTTGGCCAGGATTCCAGCAGGAGGCGAATTTTCATGCTCTGGGCTGAGGCTCTGTGCTGACCCCTCATGGGAAGACTGGCTGAACCTCGGAAGATGCTGCCCACAGCAGGGGATGGTGGCAGGGGCTGGGAAGGAGAAGTCCTAGAATTCCATGTCCTCAGCTCCCACTTTCTGGTGGGACAGGTGGGGCAGGGCCTTTGATCACTGTGGCCACAGACCTGGTATTGGGTCTTGCCCAGGTGTGCCAAACATGTTCAAGGTGTCCCAGGCCCTGGAAGTAGGGGGTGGGAAGGATGGAGGCTTTGATTTGAGGTCTCGCTGTGTACTTCCTGCCTGACTGCCTGCACCTTAGGCATGGCCAAGAGCGGCCTGTCAGGGAGATGTGGCTGCGCAGCCAGGTGTGTTGGTGTTGGGCCATTCGCAGGGCAGGGCTCACTCGCATCACCTGCAGTCAGTGTGTTTCAGGTCACAGAGGAGGGTCCTTCATTTCATGGGGTCTATTGTCCATTAATAAGGTGGTGGTGTCCAAGGTGGGCCTGGTGTAGTGCAGGAACCAGGCCAATGGGGTCCATCTGATACCTTTGGGGACAAAAGAGATAGGGGAGGAGAAGGGTGGACATGGTGGTGATTTTGCCTTGGAGATTCCTCCTTCTGTGTCAGGGCCTTCTCTATTCTTAAAAGCTTCCCCGTGCCCCAGACTCTGGTCTGATCTCCCTAGGACTCCCATCTGCTACGATAGTGCCTTTGGAGGTTCTGGAAGGGCCTTAAGTTAGGAGGCCAGAGGTATCAGGGAGGGTCATTGGTGATGGGCTGGGTGGTATCAGAAATAGCCACTGTTTTCCCCTCTTCAGACATTGAGAGGTTAATTAGGGGAAGAAATTCAGGTGGAAGTTATTCATTGCAGAGCCATGCTTGTCTGTCCTGTTTATTACAAACCCAACTGAGGATTGGAGGGACTGACAGGAAGTGACAACTCCCTGAGCTCAGACTGGAGGTCTCTTCATCCTCTTCCCATCCCAGTTTCTAGGATTAAGCTTAGAGTCTGGCCATGTGTGTTGCTTGCACCAAATCTGTGTGTCTCAGGTGAAACTCACTATTCCATTCTCCATACAGTGCCACCCTGGATGAATATCCAGCCTTTTTTTTTCTTTGAATCAGCCCTTTTCATCAATCTTTTCCATCATATTTTCAGGGAAATAATCCTTCTTGCCCCAGCACTTCGCCTCCCTGGTGGGGGTGAACAAATCCATTCTCTGAGCCTTGCTAGGTTGAGCCAGAGGCCATAAGAGGTGCCAAGTCATGGGTGGATGTGCCAAGATACTGGTGAACCTGGTTTTCAGCTATATCTCAGGCTGAGAAAGGGCAAGAGGCACGCTGTAGGGTAGGTGGTTTTGGAGTCGTGCTTGGGGCCCTGGGCTTTGAGTGGTGTGGCTATGCCTGTCCCTCTGGAAGGCCTTCTGTTTCTCCCTTTTGTCCCTAGCCTGGTCCTCTGGGGCCACTGTACCTTCTGTTGTGATCATTTATAAACTATGTGTATTTATACAGACCTGCTTGGATTGGCTGATGCTCTTCTAATTCCCTCAAAGTTTGGTTCAACCACCCTCAGGTTGTTCCACTATGACTTTACCTTTTTAAAATATTTTAAAATAAAAAACCTGATTTTTCTAGCATCCTATGGTATGGAAAGTTCATTTTTGTCCTTTGGCTATTCACTAAAGGTAATCTTACTGACATACTCAGCACCAAGGTGTCCGATGGAGCCCACGTCATTCCCAGAATCCCAAGTACTCTGCTAATCTCGAAGGACTTTAGCTGAGCTGGCTTACACCTCAGGTGTATGGGGAAGGGTGAGGATGGCCACAGTAAACCTCTACAGCCTTCTGCCTCTGTTGGGTGGACACTGGGGACGCTTCCCCATTTCTCCCAGGCTACTCTAAAGCCCTCTGCCTACTCAAATAGTACTATGCTTCTGATTCAGGAATTAATGTATGGAACTCAGAGCCAGAAAACTCCTGTGGCCTTTTCTATGACTTAGAGCCTAGGTATGGAGGTAAAATTACAATTTGGGCCACATCACCTTTCTTCTTTCTCCCTACAATGCCCCCCTCTAGTAGTGATTCATTCATTCAATAAATATTATTGAGCCGAGACTATGTGCCAGGTATAAGCCAGGAACTGGAGATACAGCAGTGAATATGTCAGGCAATGTCTGTGTCCCAGTGGCATTAAACTTACATTCCATGTAAAAGTAAATTCCAAGTAAATATGTAAACAAACAAGCTAATTGCAGATTGCAATTAAGTTCCATGAAGAAAAGAAACAGTGATATAGATAAAGAGGGAGATGGCTTTAGATGAGGTGGTCCAAGAAAGTTTTCTGAAGTGACAATTGAGTTGATTCCTAAAGGATAAGGAGCCAGTCATGGGAGGAGCTGGGAAAAGAACATTCCTGGAAGAAGGATCAGCAACTGCAAAAGATAGGAAAAGGCATGTATGTCCCTGAGGAACAGAGACACTGCATGTCAGTATCCTAGGATACTAACCACATGGGAGAGTGACATAAAGAGAAGTTGGAGAGGTCAACTCAACAACCAACAACAAACCAAATGACCCAAACAACCAAATGACCCAACAACAAACAACCAAATGACCTGAATTGACATTTCTCTAAAGAAGATATACAAATGGCCAATAACCAATGAAAGGATGCCCACCATCACTGATCATTAGGGAAATGTCAATCAAAACCACAATAAGATATCACCTAACACTCATTAGGATGGCTACTATCAAAGAAACAGAAAATAAGCGTTGACAAGGATATAGAAAAATTGGAACTCCTGTGCACTATTAGTAGAAATGTAAAGCAGTATAACTACCTCGTAAAATAGTATGATGGTTACTCAAAAAAATAAAAATAGAATTACCATATGATCTAGCAATTTCACTTCTGAGTATGTACCCCAAAGAATTGAAAGCAGGGTCTTGAATATTTGAACACCTGCATTCATAGTAGCATATATGCACAATAACCAGAAGGTAGAATCAATCCAAGTGTCCATTGATGGATGACTGGATAAACAAACTGTGGTATATATAATACATACAATGCAATATTATTCAGCTTTGAGAAGGAAGACAATTCTGACACATACTATAACATGGATGAACCTTGAGGACATTATGCTAAACGAAATAAGCCAGTCAAAAAAAAAGACATACTGTATGATTCCACTTATACAAGGTACTTGGAATAGCCAAATTCATAGAGACAAAAAGTAGAATGGTGGTTGTCGGGGGCTGAGGGGAAGGAGAAATGGGAAGTTATTGTTTCGTGGGTATAGAGTTTCAGTTTTGCAAGATAGAGAGTTCTGGAGATTGGTTGCACAACGTGAATTTACTTAACACTACTGAACTGTACACTTAAAAATAGTTAAGATGGTAAATTTTAGGTGTATTTTACCACAATTTTTTAAAATTTAAAGAAGTTGATAAGGTAGACAGGAGAGGAGTTTGGATTTTACACACTCCCTGGGTTGTAGCTCAGATCTGAAAGTTTGGGGCTGGGAGGGTGGATGAGTGGTTGCTGAAACCAAGTTCTTTCCTTTGCTAGAGGAAATAAACACCTGGATATAAGATACAGAAAAATATGGCTGCTATGACTTAGCGATAACCAATAAAACTCTTTAAAATATGCCTCCTTCTCACTATTCCCAGGGTTGGGTTCATAGCAGCAGCATCATGGAGAAGGCATATAATCACACTTGTAATTTTTAAGTTGAAATAGCTACCTTTATAAGGGAGAAATAACTGTCTTAAATTAGGAGAAACAGAAGTAATATATTATGCTAGAGCCTCAGTTTTGCAACATGGGCCTTAGCCAGGGAAGCAGGGTCACGGGAGGGGCAGGGTTCCTAGTGAAAAGGGCATTCGGGAATGAGGGGAGGTCAGGGAGAGCATCATCCCAGTGGAGAGGGCCTGGGAATGAGAAACGGCCCCGCCCCGACTCCCAGGTGTCCAGCCAGCCAGCCATGGCCCTCCTACCTGGTTGCCATGGCATCAGGACACCTACCAAACCGAGTGAGGTCTTGAAGCCCATGCTGCTCCTCTCCTAGCTGAATCGGGGAGTCCTAGGGCCGAGAAACTTCTCACAGGACTGCAGTTGGCCTCAGGACTGGACTGAGGCC